GGAAGTTAAGGCCTCCCAACTTCATGATCAATAGCAGGAATAAAATCTTTTATTTTGATATTGCAGGGAAAGGATCTTTCGACAATGTCAACCATGTTTAATCAAAAGGTACCCCAAGAGTGAATCGAGTTAGCATGTCTAATGGATTGATGTTTAATAATCGTAGGGGTAGTTACGCCACAATACACCCCCGCCCGAATTTTATCAGGGATAGAATTCGCTGAACAGATTCCACTAGTTGCAGTATCTGCGAAAGACTCGGAGAGCTGTATTAAGCTCACCGGATTTTGAGCATTTGTCGGGAGAGCTATAATAAGTTCACACGATTTTGATTTAAATCAACTGATTTTTTTTAAAAAAATCATTGATTTAAAAAGTTAAAAAACAGTGTTTCAAATTATTGATAATTTTATTATTTATTTTCTTAGTTTCAAAATTTATTTTAAATAAATTGCTGCATTAGTTTTAAAATTTATTATTGCTGCATTAATTAATTTTAGCTAACGAAATTACTTTCTTTCTCGGTATGCGTTAAATTTCAACACATTTGAAATTACATTTTCTTTTGATTCTTGAGATTGAAAGTACAGATTAAAGAAAACATTCAAGTATTTTATTCTCATAATATGTTGACAGTATCTTTGACATTATCAGATTTTCTAAAAAGAAATTTTGTGAAAATGTTTTTTAATGAGTACATAGATTTTTGTTAAAATTTTTTTTTAGCTTAAATTATACATTTTGATACAGGATTAAAAATGAATATTTTCATATAAAAATACATAGATTAAATATTGACTTATTTTCAATGAATGACTACATTTATAAACACAATATGTTACATTTATTTTGTCATCTTAAAAATCAAGAAAAAAAAAATCAGTTTCAAATTAAAATTATAGTTTGGTAATTGAAACTTTGTTTAAATAGTTTAAGTATTCTTTAAATTCTCTATTTCACCTAGTCTTTAAATTTCAATTATGCATTTGTTTCAAAATGGTTGCTATGCATTATAATGGAAAATTGTTTTAGATAGTTAGAGCTTCTAAAATATTCTTATAATACAGCTTTAATATTAATTTAACTTTGAATAAACATTTATAAAGTTTTTTAGTCATAAATCAAAGTTCTTACAGTGTGTTTGAATAAAAATTTAAAAAAAATCTGATTTAAGTAAAAAAAAACTGATTTTTTAAAAAAAAATTGAGAACCCTGGTTTGTCATGAGGGCTTCGTTCACAGTTGTGTGTGTGGTCTCTCATGTGTTGCCATTAGTAGTCAAGTGTATGCAGGATCCCGTAGTATGTAAATGAGACGAGAAAACACAGCCTAAGGAGGAAAAATGACTCAGTCACAAATAGCAAGACAACTTATCAATGTGTACCATCCATTGAAGTAGGCATGTTCATATCGGAATCCTTCGACAATGCCAACTTCGTTCAATCAAAAGTACTCTAAGATTGAATAGAGTTAGCATGTTTTATATACTAGTAAATTGATGTTTAATAATTGTAGTGGTAGCCACTATGTAATTACAGTGTATTACAGGGTCAACCCTTAAATACTGTGCTATCACCTTAGTATTAATTTCTTTGATAACGTTAATCAATAAAAAAAAAAGCTTGCTAAACAAGCACTGTTATGTTACCAATCCTTATCAATTAAAAGTACAGATTTTCAATTAGCTACTGTTTTGATTAGAAATTAAAGTATGACACAAAACTAAATTAAAGAAACAAATATTTTTATTCCTTGTTTTTAAATGAATTAATTTTAAAAGTAATGTTATTATCTTTCAAATAACTTTTCAGCTTCTTTAATCTATCCTTTCGGTTAAGTTTACTCTTTGCAATACTCTCTTCAGATCTGTGTCGGTTCTGAACATCACGGTTGAGGTCACGGCTGGTCCTTTTACCTTTCCAACCCTTAAATACATCTGGATGTAGCTTGTCTTCGGGAACGTACTCGCATTTCAGCAGCCTCTCAAAAAATAGATAATTGTTCATGGTTTCTGCAACAACTTTGGCGACATCAGCTGATTTGAACTGAATGAAAGCATAACCTTTCGACCTCAAACTCCTACGACTTTTGGCCAGACGGAGATTGGTGACTTCCCCAAATTGTGAGAAATATTGCTTCATTTCTGTCTCGTAGAATCCGTGCGGTATGTGACCGATATATATCGTTCCAGGACCACAATCTGTCTGTTGTGCCAATTTGGCTTGTTTCTTTCTCAGCCTTTTTTCTCTTTTGGCTTCATTCACGGGTTTCTGAGGTTTGATTTTTCTTCGAACATTTTCAACAAAAGAGTTCATCATTTTGGCAAATTATGTCTCTTACCTGTTAATGAAATAAAAATTTTTAGATTAGTAAAGTTTTAATCCTTAAAGTACCAAAAAAGTAAAGTTTTAATCCCGGATGTCCTTTCTTCATGGACTTCCTTAGTAAATTCTATCAGGATGAAAAATATTAAGTTTCCTTCGAGCTTTTTTTTTTTTTTTTTTTTCCCCTGTTGGTATCACTTTCATTTCTGATTTTTCAACCTTTTTTTGGCAGCAAAAATGCAAAAAATAAATAAATAATAAAATTAGAATTTGTAAGTCTGAATTCAAAATCTTTAAAAATAAAATATTTTTGCAAAAAGTCAGGAAGATGTCTACAGAATTAGACTTTCCAGTTTAAGAATCCCTACATCACTTAGGATCAGGAATTAACAATCTTCAAAGTGTTACTAATGGTCACCAATTCGTAGACACAGTCTTTTTCCAAAATTAAAAAAAAATCATAAAAATACTTTGAACTTTCCTTTTTTAAAGTGTATCCTTTAAATATAATATTGCAACTTATTCCGCTTGAAAAAAAAATTTAATTGTTAGTATGTTTAGTAAAATAAAATTGGCCTTGATTATGAAACATTTCTTCTTTGTTACAACTTATGTTTTAAATATTTTGCTTTTCATTCCTTTTGATATAATTATAAACAACTTTGGCAACTAAAAAAGTAGTTTCAGAATATATTAGAGCAGTTTAACTAATAGGAATACTCAAAATATAACCCCTTAGTATCTAGGGTAAATTTTCGTCACTGTTATAGAGAACTGACTTAATATCAGATATAAAATTCTGTGACTGTTGGAAAATTTCAATACAACTGTAAACCATATTTTATCTTAACAATGCAATTTTTCATCGAAAAAATATGATTTCTTTTAACTTTTAATGCCTAAACATTAGATTGAATGATTGAAATAGATATTATTATTAATTTTAAATCTTAATAACTGATGAATGTTACTGATATTAAAAGACAGTAATTCTATAGGTATGATTCTTGATTTTCGTAATAAGAAAAGGCAGTTTTTCCTGAATTTTTGAGCTGAAATTATATTTTTTGAAAATGCCAGGTTTTCAAAAAAGTTTATGCACTATTAGTTTAATAAGTTGAATACTTTTAAATATATGTAGGTCCATACAGGGTATCTGCTACATTTTAGATTTTCAAATTCATGATTTTCCATGACTAATTCCAAAATTTTTCATAACTTAACGAAGTTACTATTTTCTCTGACACAAACAAAATAATAAATTTTAAAAAGCATTATAATAACATTAATTGAAAGGCTTAACCAAAACTATTATACTCTGCACCTTCATGCTTATAGATTTTAAATTTAAAAAACAGAGTAAAGAAAGATTTGAAGCAATAAAATAGCTGATAAAAATACAAAGCAAATAATTCTTTTTTTTTTTTTTGCTCAATTATATTCTAAAGGTACTTTTCTTGTTCACCGGAAAGGAAGAAAAACTCCTGATTTTTCCCTTCTCATGTTGAAATTAAAAAAAAATTTACCAATGACTGGCTTGCTTCAGTTAGAATTCTAAATTGATAAAATAAATATATAACAAAAATTCTTAAATCACAGAAGTTTAAAAGATAATTTGCTCTGGAAATTATGTTTTTTCTTTAATTTTTTGTAGAACACCATAATTTTAAAAGAACATGATAAAAACATTTGATATTATAATAAAATATGACTAGTAGAGGGGTATTTGGAATCGGAATAATGGGAACACCATAAAATGGGGGGGGGGATTCCGTTTTAAATATTAGATTTTTGGAGGACCTAAATCCACGAGTTACCATGTTTTTTTTTAAAAAAAAATTAGCTAAAATCATGATAAATCTCATTCAATAACGAAATTCAAGACTTTCCATGATTTCTCATGACTTTTCAAGTATAGATACCCTGTAGATAGCAAAACTATACATAATGCACACAAATTGAATAAAAATTTCTTTTTGCAAATATATTGCAAAAATGTAGTAAATTTTTACCAGTAAAATAACTTAGTTTATAAGTAACACATTGATTAACATCCATACATGGTAAAAATAATTTTATAGTGTAAAGATTAACGTAATATATATACATACCCTCCAACTTATGAGGATTTTGAAAATAATTTTTTCTAGTGGTAGCGAACCAAAGTAGAAATTTTTAAAGCAAATGGATCTCTCATAAAACTTTTATCAGAACTTAAGAATCTAGCCATATGGCCTGCACTTTTATAAGTAATAGTGGACAAGTTACGCTAAAATNGCCTAAGGAGGAAAAATGACTCAGTCACAAATAGCAAGACAACTTATCAATGTGTACCATCCATTGAAGTAGGCATGTTCATATCGGAATCCTTCGACAATGCCAACTTCGTTCAATCAAAAGTACTCTAAGATTGAATAGAGTTAGCATGTTTTATATACTAGTAAATTGATGTTTAATAATTGTAGTGGTAGCCACTATGTAATTACAGTGTATTACAGGGTCAACCCTTAAATACTGTGCTATCACCTTAGTATTAATTTCTTTGATAACGTTAATCAATAAAAAAAAAAGCTTGCTAAACAAGCACTGTTATGTTACCAATCCTTATCAATTAAAAGTACAGATTTTCAATTAGCTACTGTTTTGATTAGAAATTAAAGTATGACACAAAACTAAATTAAAGAAACAAATATTTTTATTCCTTGTTTTTAAATGAATTAATTTTAAAAGTAATGTTATTATCTTTCAAATAACTTTTCAGCTTCTTTAATCTATCCTTTCGGTTAAGTTTACTCTTTGCAATACTCTCTTCAGATCTGTGTCGGTTCTGAACATCACGGTTGAGGTCACGGCTGGTCCTTTTACCTTTCCAACCCTTAAATACATCTGGATGTAGCTTGTCTTCGGGAACGTACTCGCATTTCAGCAGCCTCTCAAAAAATAGATAATTGTTCATGGTTTCTGCAACAACTTTGGCGACATCAGCTGATTTGAACTGAATGAAAGCATAACCTTTCGACCTCAAACTCCTACGACTTTTGGCCAGACGGAGATTGGTGACTTCCCCAAATTGTGAGAAATATTGCTTCATTTCTGTCTCGTAGAATCCGTGCGGTATGTGACCGATATATATCGTTCCAGGACCACAATCTGTCTGTTGTGCCAATTTGGCTTGTTTCTTTCTCAGCCTTTTTTCTCTTTTGGCTTCATTCACGGGTTTCTGAGGTTTGATTTTTCTTCGAACATTTTCAACAAAAGAGTTCATCATTTTGGCAAATTATGTCTCTTACCTGTTAATGAAATAAAAAATATTAGATTAGTAAAGTTTTAATACCGGATGTCCTTTCTTCATGGACTTCCTTAGTAAACTCTATGAGGGTGAAAAATATTAAGTTTCTTTCGAGTTTTTTTTTTTTTTTCCATTCCTGTTGGTATCACTGATCTTTCTGATTTTTCATAATTTTTTTTTGGTAGCAAAAATGCAAAAAAAAAAAATATATATATATATAAAACTTAGAATTTGTAAGACTGAATTCAAAATCTTCAAAAATAAAATATTTTTGCAAAAATTCAGGAAGATGCCTACAGAATTAGACTTTCCAGTTTAAGAATCCCTACATCACTCAGGAATTAACAATCTTCAAAGTGTTACCAATGGTCACCAATTCTTGGTCACAGTCTTCTTCTAAAATTAAAAAAATCATAAAAATACCCTGAACTTTCGTTTTTAAAAGGGTATTCTTTAATTATAAGATTGCAACTTAATCCATTTGAATTTTTTTTTAATCGTTAGTATGTTTAGCAAAATAAAATTGGCCTTGATTATGGTACATTTCTTTTTTGTTACAACTTATATTTTAAATATTTTGCTTTTCATTTCTTTTGACAGAATTATAAACAACTTTGGCAACTAAAAAAGTAGTTTCAGAATATATTAGACCAGTTTAACTAATAGGAATACTTGAAATATAACCCATTAGTATCTAGGGTAAATCTTTGTTACTGTTATAGAGAACTGGCTTAATATCAGATATAAGATTCTGTGACTGTAGGAAAATTTCAATACAACTTATAAACCATATTTTATTTTAACAATGCAATTTTTCATCGGAAAAATATGATTTCTTTTAATCTTAATGCCAAAACATTAAGATTTTTTTATCAAAGAAAAAGATTTATTGAATGATTTAAATAGATACTATTGTTAATTTTAAATCTCAATAACTGATGAATGTTACTGAAATTAAAAGACAGGTAATTCTATAGGTATGATCTTTGATTTTCGTAATAAAAAAGGGCAGTTTTTCCTGAATTTTGGAGCTAAAAGTATATTTCTTGAGAATTCCAGGTTTTCAAAAAAGTTTATGCACCATTAGTTTAGTAAGATGCATACTTTTAAATATATGTAGGTCCATACAGGGTATCTGCTACATTTTAGATTTTCAAATTCATGATTTTCCATGACTAATTCCAAAATTTTTCATGACTTAACGAAGTTACTATTTTCTCTGACAAAAACAAAATAATAAATTTAAAAAAGCATTAGGTATAATAACATTAATTGAAAGGCTTAACCATACCTATCATACTCTGCATCTTCATGTTTATCGATTTTAAATTTAAAAAACAGAGTAAAGAAAGAGTTGAAGCAATAAAATAGCTGAAAAAAATATTCTTTAAAGATTATATTCAAATAATTCTTTACTTTTCTTTTTTTTTTTGCTAAATTATATTCTAAAGGTACTTTTCTTGCTCATCGAAAAGGAAGAAATACTCCTGATTTTTCTGTTCTCATTTTGAAATTTTAAAAAAATTTACCAATGACAGGCTTGCTTCAGCTAGAATTCTAAATTGATAAAATACCATAGTTTTACATGATAAAATGATGAACATGATAAAAACATTTGATATTTTAATAAAATATGACTAGGAGAGGGGAGTTTGTTACAAATTCTGATAATTGGAACACAATAAAATGGAGAGGAGGTAAATTCCATTTTAAAAATTAGATTTTTTGAGGATCTAAATCCATGACCTACCATGTTTTTTTTTAAAAAAAATAGTTAAAATCATGACTTTCTATGATTTCTCATGAACAGATACCCTGTAGATAGCAAAACAATAGATAATGCACACAAAATGAAAAAAAATTTCTTTTTGCAAATATATTGTAAATTCTTGTGTTGAACAATTTTAATTATGCTCAATATGACTCAAATTATAAATTTATACCAGTAAAATAACTTAGTCTATAAATAACACTTTGATTAACATCCATACAAGGTAAAAGTAATTTTATAGTGTGAAATATATATATAAAAAAATTATACATTTATAAAATATGAGTGACCAGTCATAACCTCATAAGTGACCCGTTCCTGAGTTAATTGTTGGTAAATTATTAATAATATATTATTTAAATAACAAGTGAATAACTGCTAAAAGAAATAATTCATTAGAAAGACATCACAACGTTCTTCCTCCATGCAAAACATTTCTAACTTAAGAGTTTGATAAATTTGGTTAAAATTGAATATTCTTTGATCAACAATTACTACGAGTGACATTATAATACACCCCGTAAATAAAATAAACAACTTCGATGAACAGTTTAGTGAACATTATTTATTTTATCAATATGAATAATTAACAATTTTTAACAGTAACAAATTTTGATAAAGACATTCCATGCTAATAAATATTATTTCAAGTATGAAAGCATTATAAAAGCAAAAGGAAAAAAGGTATTTCATAATTTATCTAAATAACTTACCTAGCACAATAGAAGTATTTCAAATTATTTGATAAACTTTTATTTTTAAGATTTGGTCAACATGCCGTTGCGTACAAAATAAACAAAGAGAACGCTACGGTTACAGCGTGATGTTATCGCATTTTATTTCTAAGGAAATTTGGAGAAAAGCATTTTATCAAAATTTTCCATTACGAAACTGTTTTTGTTATTTTTAAAACAATTTAATATAATTATAAAATCATTATTCAATCCAATTTGAAAACGTTTTAGAAAATTGAGGAAATAATATTACAAGAATATATATGGCATTACAAGGAAACATAAATATAAACAATTACAGAAATGTGATGGGGGGCGGCGAAACTTCGAAAGCGTCAAGTAGTTCTAATTAATTGAATATATTTCTTGAGCAAGTATTTAATTTATTTAAATTTTATGTTAAAACTAACCAAATATAATCAAGAACTTGATTATAATTAATAAAATAGTCATAGTATGTGCAATAATTTAATTACCTAATTGAAATTATTACCACTTTCTCTACATTACATAAACATTATTTTTAAATAAAAGCTATCATTTATTAAAACATTTAAGTAACTAATATTTAAAAATTTCATTTTTAGAATCATTATTTATCACCATGGGAATGGAAGCTGTCGTTTTGGCTGCAATTACAGTACTTACCATTGTTTTTGTTGGATCACTTTTTGCTCTTATAATGATATGTCGTCATAAATATTGTCGGCCGTTTGATTTATTCTCACCGCAATTTAAGGATGCAAGGTATTTATCCCCAATGTTTTAATCATTATGTTAATACCATAATTAGCGTTTTATTAATGAATGAAATAACTGCTATGGAGCTTTTACGTTTATATAACTATTATACATTTGATTTATGTTTCGCAATTTATCTCAGTTTGAGTTACGTTTATGTTAAGTGAAATAATCTGCTTTCAAATTCTGTAGTTGCTTTTTACCTGTACATTTTCTTTTTATACAATGTATGCTTTTTTTTTAAATTCGAGAAAGATCTGTTATGTTAGACTGCATGAAATACTCTCTTGAAAAAAAATGCTAATTAGTTTTTCTCTCTCTGTAACTTTGAGTCCCGCAGTGGACTGATCGTTAAGACACGGTTCTCATCAGATCACCGAAGTCAAGCATCACTGGCTGTGGTCAGTGTGCGGGTGGGTGACCCACTTGGATCAGTCTGCGTAGGGACCGAGGGTGTGCGGTATTGGTCCTCGTTAAACTGTGCTACCGTAAAGTGCTCGACTTCGCGCGCAGGTCGTCGGGCTACCGAAGCGGGGGTGCCATCCCTTCCGCAGAGGATCAAAATTGTGATGGCATGTCTTCGGATCATCCTCCGGGATGTTTTCCAGACCGTCGCCAATAGCCCATTGTGCAGCTCTAGTGCGACGTAAATTAACAACAACTGTAACTTTGAATGCATATTTTAATCCAATGGAATAATATCATTGGATTTAAATATACATTCAAAGTTACAGATAATACAAAGTTACAGAAATATTTTCGTATTGTGATGTACGCCAAAATAATCTCAAAGTCTTGTCTACTTCATGTCATTAGTCCTTGAGAAACTGAAGAAATTATCACAGAAAGAGGACAACTCAATGAATATAATTTGTAGCCAGCCTTCGGCAAACCTCTACATGTTTTCTTTGCTTATTTTAAAATCCATTTGTTGACTCAGTTATTGTAGTTGGCGCTACAGATAACGATACAGTCATGTCCTCCGATTATTAATATTCATATAATAAAATTATGACTTTAATTAAAATAAACTTTCACAAACTTCCTTTATGAAGCCCTGGTGGCTTAGAGGATAAGGCGCTCACCTTCCAATGAGGTGACCGGGTTTGAATCCCAGGGTTGGCAAAATATTCTCAGCAGTAGTTGGATTTTGGGTTAATCTCCTTGCCTACAGGCTAACTATGGAAGGCTTTCCTCTCAATGTAATACAAAAGGGGGTGAATTTCATCTAAAAGTTCTCCATGAGGACAAATTTCTCCCAATGCTTAATCCAGGCGTTTCTTTGTCTTTTGGATTGGGCTCAAAATTACAAGGATACAGAGTTGAACATTGGTCGTCATAAACTCAAAATTGAATTGGCTATTTTATAACGGTTATAAAAATAAAATAAAAACTTCCTTAATGGAAATATGTTTATTTACTCTAATGCTTTTTTCACTTTATATGAAATGATCGCTTAATATGACAGCATGAAATACTCTCACACATTGTCTTAACACTTTGCTGATCTTTGAAATCTTCCCATCTGGCAGCAGTTAGTTTTAGCTGTTACCAGATGGCTAACTTATACTAAGGCACTTTGTTCGGTTGGGGAACTTTTTGAATAAATAATAAATTGAAATAATTTTTTTAAAAAAATTAATGAATGCATTGATTATTATGGTTTTCAAAGTTCTGTATCAGTACTATGTTGATTTCATTGCTATTATTGTTGCTAATTACCACATTGATTTAAAATATTTTATGTTATTAATTATGAACTTTCTTAATTACAATATATACTTATAGTAGTATAGTATATACTAATAATAGTAGAATATACTCATGTTATTATCTTGATAGATTTTTTAATGCATAGAACAGTGACTTATGCTGTAAGATTTATTCAATATTTCTTTAAAAAAAACCAAAAGGTTGAAAATATACCAGAAACTCTGATAAAAGTGTCATTCTCATTGTATTCAGGTCAATCAATGTGATTGATAGACCTGAACATCAATGTTGAATTTTGTAAGTTTCATAGAGTTTAAAACTTTCAGTAAAGATTAGGTTTTTGTTGTGATCATTATTTTATAAGAGGTCTATTTTTTCTTATTGTAAATTTGTGTAAGGTACAAAAATGGCACTAATTCGCTCTAAATAAACCTCTTATAAAAGTTTCATTTTTCTTCTTCTATTTGTTGGCCTAAAAGGAAATATTACTTTGAATAAATATTTCTCTTATGTTCCACTAATATTTTATGTTGTGTTGTTATATATTTAGTTGTGAAATTAGTACAACTCCATTTTTTTCTTCTCTAGACCGGAGATTAATCTGATTAGTAATGAAGATAGTGCAGACATGGAATTAGATGATGTTCGTCTCCATCCCAATATTGAAAAAATTTTAGTTGATGAACAATGGGTAGATGATGCCACGTAAGTGTTTTTTTTCTTCTTTTTTTAATATTTTCTTAATTCTTTTTATTTTACAATTAAAATTTTATGATAATATAGTTTTTATTCCAAGTTCTCATCAAATGAATTATCTCTACGAAGAAAGCGAAAATATGTACTTAATTATGTAAAAAGCTTTATTTTTTTTTCAAAAATGTAAGATGTTTCCAGCGCTGAAAAATCGGTGGCCATTTTCAGAGCTTGCTGGGTGTGAATGAGGTAAACAAAAAAGTCGTTATCATTCAAGTTTTGAGAGTATGCACTTATAGTTTGTCTTCGATAAGAACTCCCCTTGCCACAAAGTCTGGGGCTGTCGGCTGCTATGGAAACAAGAATAGTGCATTTCAGGGAGGGTAGTTTTTCTTCTCACTAGGGCTAACTCAGTAGACAGAAGAAAAAGATTCCCTTTCTCGCACCCACAAAGCCAAAACCTGTCCTAAACAGTGACCCCACACCCCTACTCGAAATAGTTATACCTCATTTCCTCAATCACCGCCACGGGTCCAATCGAATGGCTAGGAGAGTTCTTACTTTAGACAAACTATATTTTTGAATCACTAAACAGATTGACTTCCACCGCTTTCAGAACTTTTTGAAGCAATATATTATTAAGTATGCCTAGTTCTCATGTTTATATTCATTGTAATTACTTTGTGTTCTTTTAGAGGTTTTATACCTTAATGTCATTATTTGGCAAACTATATTTTTAAATATTCCAAACATGTTGACTTCAAAACTTTCTGAAGCAATATATTCATCAAGTATTTTATGTTATTAAGTATGCCTATTTCTCATGTTTATATTCATTGTGTTCTTTTAGAGGTCTTATACCTCATTGTCTGGCAATACTGAAAAAGTGCCATCATTTAACAGAAAGGTTGGTAGCCATGATGATGACACGTTTCTCTCCTGAATCAATGCAAGATTTGAGTGAAATCATTGATGTCGCTAAAAGAATAAGTCCTCGTGTCGATGATGTTGTAAGAGCTATGTACCCACCATTAGACCCAAGATTATTGGAAGCACGGTAAGCATCTTTCTTTATCCAAAAAATCTTTAAAACTATGCATTTCATCCGTATAAAGCTTTGGTGTATCTGAATTTTAAGCCACTAGGTTTTTTAGATAGGTGCATAAGTTTTAAAATAAGTTGTAAGATGGAATTTAATTTTATAATTATTTGATAAGAATTTTAGTTAATAAAACCTAAATCAGTTTAAAGACTGTTGCTTAAATCTAAAGCATTGTTGCTTTACATTTATTGCATTTTAATTAGCTGTTGAGGCAGCCAAGGCCTGCAAGGGGCTGTTGCACTGATAAAGAAGAAACGTACTTTATTTACATTGCACCAGAGCTGCACAATGGTCTATTGGCATAAATCGGGAGAAATCCCTGAAGGTCTTAGACATGAAATCACAAGCAGCGGAGATGACTCCCCTGCTTTACTTGCCTGTCGACCTGTGTGCGAAGTAAAGTACTTTGATTACTTCGCAAGTTGATCAAAGTGAGACCCGATTGGTCACTGACTGCAATCAGTGATGCTTAACTTCGATGAACTACTGTGAACCGTCTACCATTAAGATCAGTCCCCTATGTGACTTGTAAGCATTTTAAAATCGGTGATAGCTGTTCAGAATTTATTTAGTTTCATAAAAAAAAAAAAAAAAAAAGTTGCATTCATAATAATATTTTATGAAAATAAATTCCATTTCAATTAAATTCATTTAATATCAAAAAATATATTGATCAGTATATATTATGAATAGATTTAAAAAAATGTGAACATTGAAGAAACAAAAGCGTAGTAAAGGACTGTACATCCACTCTTGCCAATAAAAATTGTTTTCCTGTGTTTAATTGTTCAATTATGTTGTAACCCTGCACAGTAATACTTTTCATCATAAAATGTTTATTTTTCAATACAAAATGGGTTATATTTCACTTTTATAATATTAAAACCAATATCAATGGTTTTAATTTTACACAATGTAATGACAAGCCTTGAGACAATATAATGATAAGTCATATTTTCAATTGTTAAAGAGGGCATTTTTTACTTAAAAATACCACAATACCCATTAGATGCTTCCAAAAATTGTTTTGTTACCAAATAGAAATTCCTGAAACTTGAAGTACCTATTTGGAAACTAGATTTATCTTATAAAATTTTTTTAACAAAAGAAATAGAAATAACCATCACGTGTTTAATTGATAGTCAATATAAAATAAGAAAATAATAAATTCCAGCACTACGAAACATTACAGTTTGATGTAAAAATGTTAATCTTAGGATGTTATAGATTATCACCATATTACATCAAACTTTTTACATAAAATTTATAGTGCAACACGAAGTGAGTGACAATTAAAGTAAAATTTAAAAGAGAATGATAAAATAGTTTGGTTCATTTGTTAGATACAGTAGGTTCTACTGGGTTTAATGTGGCGAAAAGGTTGGCTGCATAAAAAAATGACCAGATAAGAACAAAATTTCACTTCGATCTTCACTCCCCCATGAAATTAAAATTACACTTTTTAAGATAAATGATTAATGCAAAAATACTTCATGTCTATTAATGAACTACACAAGTGTTAAAAGTTATGACTAGGAATTTGCAAAATATGTAGACGCATTAGCTTCTCTTCTTTGCCTCCCACAATAAGTTTTAGGAATGGACGGTTCTATTATTCTTCATTTTTGATTAGGCCGCATAGTACTGAGTCTGGTTAGTCGGGAACCTACTGTAGTTTTTCGTGTTTCAATTGATTTCGTCTATAATTATTATGAAGATAGTTCCAATATGATTTGTGACTATGGTTGCCATTATGGTTTTCTTGATTTTTACATTACTTGATATTATCATAGCTGCCAACTCTATTGGATTTTCCAGTAGACTACTGGATTTTGCTAATTTCTCCTGGTTTGCTGGTTTAATAAAAATTCTCCTGGTTTTTGTACATTTTAGTAAATTCCCTAAAATTAAATAAGTTTCCTAAAAAAATCTATTGAAATAGAATTTTTGCACAGATTTAACTTGAATATTTAAATAAGTATTACAAATATATAATGAAGCAAGCTTCATTTATAGAAATCAGTTTAAAACTTTTTTTTTGTTCCAAAATATTCAGTTCATTTTTATACAGAACTCCCTTTTTAAATTAATTAAAAATCTTAATTATTTTTTATGAATTAAATGCTTATTACTATTCAAAATTATGAGTAAACATAATACACAACATTTCAAGCATATTTAATGCTAATCATGACGAGAAAATATTGCAGTTTTTCTTCTTTGATGACTCTAAAAATCCCTACAATTTCCTATGTGTAATATATTTAGTTATATTAATCAGTTATATTATTCAGTTATTAATCATTATGCTGTTATTATGTTATTAATCAATTTTCGTAACATTTATATTTCATGAAATCTACTGGATGGTTGCCAGTTATGTATTATCGTTTTCTTTAAAAAAAAATATAGTCATCTTCTATTTGTGCAATAATTAATTGATCACTCTAGAATTTAACTGGTGTTACAGTGCTGACTAAACAAAAATCTTTAAGCATTTAATTGTATTGAACTTGTCAAAATTATTTTTGCTGACTTCTTAATTACAAAATTCAGTTATACACATATGTTTATAAATTATCCTGATTTGTGAAAAACTACTCTTAGTTTTTTAAAATGGAGCTCTGTATTTTTATTTATTTATTTTGTGAAAAATCACTTTTTAATTTGCTAAATCTAAAAATATTGTAGAATCAGTTTCTATCACTTTCAAAGTCCGGTTTGTGTTAATATGTGATAATAGTTACACAAAAACTTGTTTTCTAGGATTTATAGTTTTAGATTACGAATTTTTTTATCAATCATTATGAATTATTAACTCAGTTTTTCAAAACAATTTTATTTTTAAAAAAATTATTGTGATGGGTCAGTTTAGATAATTAAATTATTTGGTGCCAATTTTATCATAAATGATTTTGAAAATAGTCCATTTATATGATAATGTAATTTGTAAAGGGTACAGAGTCCATTAACAGACCAGAATTCTTGTTAACATACCCATGTTTTGTTCTTTTTTTTTATGTATTAACAAGTGTTTTGATTCATTATTTTTTTAGATGCATGGCTTTAATTTTATCCGTGAGTCACTTGGCACTCATAATACGATCGCTTTGCCAGTTGAGAACTTCGTGCAGTTGGGTGGAAGCAGCTTTAACAGATATGGAAGAGAATTTACAAGTAAGGGTATTGTTATTCAGTTTTAACACAACTCTCTTGTTTCTTTGACGATACTTAAAATTTTTTTAATGAAAACATAGGTGTTGAGAGAAGCTGGAATGGCATTGGAGGCTACTGCATCACTGCAAACAAATTCCCTGACAAACAACTCTACTGATTCAATTAACGCTAATAACGTTAACGGTAATTTGGTGACTAAAATTGTTTGAAGTTATGCTATATCCAAAGACTCTTCATCACTGTGTCTTCCTACATTCTAATTTTATATCATTCCAGTATATGATTAATGATTATTACCAAAATTAATTAAGCATCTATAGCATCAATAATAACATGGCGATTTATTATATTTTTACTAAATGATTTACTATCATTTATCTATTATTTTGCTTTATAGTACGTAGCATTTTTTTTTCAATTGGTACTTATTACCAAAATTCAATTTAGTATCATTGGTGTCTACAATAGCATGAATTTTTACATTTCTTTTAAATGAAATAGTACCATTCCTCTATTATTTTTTATTTTTAGTACAAAGCTTATTTTTTATTTCAATTTGTGCATTATTACCAATCCCACTCAGTTTTAGAAGAAAAAAAAATTTCCTGACTTTTACAGGTATATCAGGTAAATTGCAATGAAAATCCAGTTCATATTTTATATGTACCAAGCAAGTTTTAATAGGAAAAGTCAGTTTAACTAAAAATGTGACATTTTTACAACAAATAATTGTAATAGATGTTAGAACTCAAATTTCAATAACTGTTTACTATTATTGACAATTCAAACTGGTTATTTTCCAGTCATGATATAGGAATTTTCCAGGTTTTTGTAAAAAATTGCAATTTTTTCTTATTATTTCCTGATTTTTGAAGTTAAAATAAAATTCCCTGGCATTTCCCAGACCCATGGGAGCCCTGCAAGATTAATTAAGCCTTATTAGAGTCGATAATAGTATAGCAATTTTTTATGCTTTCCTTAAAATAATAAGTTCCTTTTCTTCATTAATTTTACTTTCTAGAACATAGCTATTTTTTAAATATTAGTTGTACAACTAGTATTGTGAATTAACTTAAATTATTTAAAGTTTCTTTAAGTTCTAATATCATGACTTCATATTGACGTTTCTCTATATTCTATTTTCATAACATTCCAATGCATATTCTATTTTTTATATTACTCGTTATAGATGTGATATACATATATATATTAGGAATTTCAGATACACAGTATTTTTTGTATGCATTTATATACATTGTATTTATTTATATGTTATTTCATAAAACAGCAATACACAACTATTTTGGATAGCTAAATACAAGAGGCAAAAGATACTGAGTTGCGAGTGAGCAACACTGATACGTAATTGCTAGCCTTATCTGAAAATTTTTAAAAACTTGAGGGTTAGATAGTTTCACTTCACATTTTTTCCCCTATGTGCAATTATTTTTAATACTATTTTTTCCATACTTAGAAATTATTTCAGTTCTGTCACTGGGGCAGGATTTTTTTTTCGGGCTTTCTGCGACATACCTTTCTAATACTAATATCTTTCTGCAAGATAATTTTAACATAACAAATATGCAAGTTACTAATTTAAAATAACAAAAGGGTCAACTTCAAAAAAAAAAAAAAAGAATAAACTTTTGGGATCAAATAAAAAAAAATTTTTTTTATTGAATATGCAATATATATTTTTTATTTTGCAATATTCTCTTACTTTGTATGGGGAAAACATGATAATTATTTCCTTTTTCGCATTTTATAAATCATCACACTAAAAAATTTATGAAATCCGTATCAGTAACTACCAAAAAAAAGATCGACAGTGAAATTACGCGAATCGAACTCATCAAACTAAACTAATGCGTAACTAAATGCGTGTTTTTATTTCGAGATTCAGTTGTAATCAATAATATCGTATTAAAAGTATAAACTTTTAACAGCTATGAGTAAATCAATAGTAATAACTGTATTAAAAAATAGAATGAAAATTTCTACAGGAAAGAAAACCAAATTTTTTCACTTCCCAAAGGAAGAATCTTTCTGCAAGAACTCAGTAACACTCTGCTATGGGGAGTTCTGTTAAATGGAAAAAATAATATACTGTAATTTTTATACGCAAAAATAACATTTATAAAATGGAAAGAGAGAAAGAAAATTATTTTTTTCCTCATCAAGATATATTAAAAGAAATATATTCTCACAGTTTAGAAAAACAATCCTATTCTACTGTTGTTGTTTTTTTAGAAGGGTTAAAGGATGTTAAAATTTTTAAAAGGTTTTTTACTGTTCTAAAAATATCAAAACATTACTATTCCTCAATAATATAACCAACCATCATTACTATTACCTCAAAGCATTTACTCTCATTTATATCATCCCAAAAAATATATTAATACTCACTTAAAGTGAATAGGAAAAGATATCTTATTTAATTTTTGAACATTTGAGTTTATAACTACAACTTTAAACTAAAAGCACGCATCACTCGTCTAAATTCATAATAACAATACCCCAAAACAAGACATAAGCTTTTCTTCATGTGCTTAATATTTACAAACGCTATTATAACCAAACTAGAATTCTTCATTTCCTGTAATTTTTCTATGATATACTACTTCTAGTTAACAATGTATGAAATTTGTGTTTTCTAAATTCTGCTTCTTTTCTCAATATTATCCAGGAAAAAAAATTTCAACTCTGTATCCAATTTTATATTAGTTTGTAGTAGAGTCAGAAGCATAACAAACATACGTTTTTCACACAAGAAAAAAAGTTTAAATAAGTAAATTTGCTTTCCAGTTCTTCTCACAGTTATCAGAGCTGTTTGTGCCCCCCCCCC